GCTGGTAAGAAGATACAGGAATGGTCAGAAAAATTGCGGGAGCTGTAGAAACATTTTTGGGTTCGATAAAAAATTGGGTATACTCGACTGAAGTTGAATAAAATTGCAATTGACTTAAGTTATATTCGGAGAAAGTTGTATTTGACTCAAGTTCTATTGGAATAAAATTACACTTGACTCAAGTTCTTTGGAATAAAATTGCAATTGACTCAAGTTCTACTGGAATAAAATTGCACTTGACTCAAGTTCTTTGGAATAAAATTGCACTTGACTCAAGATCTACTGGAATAAAATTGGACTTGACTCAAGTTCTATTGGAATAAAATTGCACTTGACTCAAGTTCTTTGGAATAAAATTGCACTTGACTCAAGATCTACTGGAATAAAATTGGACTTGACTCAAGTTCTATTGGAATAAAATTGCACTTGACTCAAGTTCTTTGGAATAAAATTGCACTTGACTCAAGATCTACTGGAATAAAATGACACTTGACTCAAGTTCTATTGGAATAAAATCGCACTTCACTCAAGTTCTCCTTAAATAAAACCGCACTCGACTGAAAAAAAATTGTTCCCAATAAATTCCGTCGATCGCATTCACCGTCTACTCGACTCGAAACATCCGCCACGATCTGTTTGAATTTCCAATGCGAGCCTCGCTAAGGAATTCGTGATCGCATTAAGGAAAGTGAACGGATCCGCGAGCAGGATCGAGCTAGTATATTTAAGAGCGGCTCACGAGTCGACGTTAAATCCGTCTGTAGATCCCGGCTACGTCGCCGACGATTCGCATTGTAACGGAGCTGAGATTTGCATCCAGGTCGCGCCGTCACGGGAACGAGGCTGAGTCGAATACAGAGAACGATATGGCCGCATCTGGCACCGGTGTTAATCCGGCCCATGCAAATTTCTTTCCAGCTCGCGCCGGGAGGCTGCGTCACATGGACAGGGGCGGGCTCAACAGGCAACGTGCCCGCCAGTTTAAAATTCGAGCTCCGCCGCTACCCTATGTTTCGTCACACCCCGACATCACCGTCGAATATCGATGAATAAAATATTTTTCGCGCCGGTGTCTTTCATTATTTCCCACTCGAAAATCCGTGCGAATTTTCGATGGACCCATTCGGAATTTTCAGTCACCGTTCTGTGCGAGATAAATTGCGTTTGCGTCGATAGAGCAGCGCGGTCAATTATTGCGACCCGTTCGCGGCGTTTTCGCTGCTAAAAACGACTTTAGCAATTTCATTGACATCACTTACGAGGCCGAAGGTCTCTTTCAACGATGCAATTTTTACCACGGGACAAGTATCAAATTTGCTTTGATTATTAGGAGAAAGAGAACAGAAAATTATGAAACCAGTTTTGTTTAAACCAGTATTTTCGATCAGAAAATTTGGCGAATTCAGTGCGATGATTTTTCTGTTATTTCAAGTGCTTTCGTCCTTTACATGTTTAATTTTGACAAGTGAATGATTGATCGAATTCGAATAAAGAATTTAATATGTCCGGTTCGATAAATATCAAATTAAATGCAGAGTAATCGACCTACTGTCCGCTTGCAGCTGAAAATGCCAAGTTTGACCGAAGTTCAAGTTGTGTAAATGTTTTCGTTATCGATCGAATTTTTATCAAGCATGATTACGTTAGGTTGCACTGTGTGCACCCGCGGCCGTTAGATATACCGAAGCAGCGTCCGAGATGCAGCGAAAGTGAGGGTTAGTTTATATTCGAGGGCAGCAACAAGTGTTCCCGATTGCCTTTAACTTCCGTCTAATTGCCTGATTCGTACAGGTGAAGGCTAAAAGCGGAACGAACGGGACCCGCAAGGTGGACGCCTGGCAGTTAACTTAAACGAAGGGAAAAAGCGACCGCTTTGTGGCGCCGCTTTGCTTGTCTTCCCGTGTCGCCCACAGCGAACGAAATTCACTCGGACTTAGACGACACTGGGAATTCGTCGCGAAACAGAAGAAGCCAAAGGGCACGAGTCGAGTTAAATATACAGCAACGAAAGCTCGTGCCAGGTCTAGGCAAGACGAATTTTTCCAAAGACAAAAATTATTCTCAAATAAACGGAATCTTCTTGATTAGAACGAAAAACGAATCGATGAAATCTGTCGCGTGGTTCTCGAGAAAAAAAATTACAATGTCCACGAAGTTCGTGTCTCTAAGTCGCCCCGACAGATTTAATTACACTTGCGATAAAACCCTATGAAAAATGTACAGAAAATTAGTTTATCGATCGGACGAACTTTTTTCTCTGCTAAAGCAAACCTCGCTGATCAAAATAAAAAAAGAATCGTTAAAATTGGTCGAGTGGTTTTTGAGAAAAGAATTCGCGAATGCAGCCCTTTTTTTAACACGGGTTACGAACAAGTCTGATTGAAAGTACTATCGATTTTCAATAGAATTCGATAATTAGGAACGACGATTACCGAAGGGGATATTTGTAGCACCGGCGCGATGATTATGCACAGATTTGACAGGGAAGTTGCAGCCGCGATGCAGCTGCAATTAGAGGTCCTCCGTCGCGTTGTAAATGCATATACAGCCGGCGAGGTTTCGCGCCTCTGTGTGCGTGTGCCACGGATCGGAGCCAGGATTACAATTCCAGTTTGCAGATGCGATGGAAGAGCTTACTTCCGGCACGTAGTTTGATAAGCCAGGCCAATTTTGCAGGTAGTTAATATTCGCGAGCCTATATTGGACTGCTCCCAGCCGATGTCTGGGATTAAAATTACATGCGTCCCTTCTGATACAATCGGTATGATTTTTTGGTAAATTGCTTTTCCTTCGAACGGAAAGACAACAAATCCGACGCACACACACACAAAAGAAAAAAATAGAGCCGAATGTAACGAAGCCCAAAATATTCGGCAAACATTTTGTCAGTCGGGATACCTGCGGTTTCCACCAGACAAAAATAGTTCAACTAAGAAACACAAATATTTGCGGACACTGTTTCTCTCTCTCTCTCTCTCTCTCTCTCTCTCTCAACTGTGTTACATATTCGTTTTATTTCTTTTATTTCTGTATTAAATGAAATACTAATTGAAATGCTTCGTTGATTTTACAAATATATAATAAGTGGTCTAAAGAATATATTTCATGAAATACCGAATTGAGATAAGTATCTTCTTTATTGTGCGTTCATTAATTGTTTAAATATTCGAGTAAATTTTGAAATATCATTTTATACAAACAAGCGTGTCTCATTAACTGTTTCCAATCAACTGTTCCCAATTATTATTATTATCTGTAACAATAATTGTTATTATATTAATAATTACTGCTAATAATTAATAATATTATTACGATGCCGAATATTTGTAGAAAAATTAAAAGGGCATCTGGCCCTTTCAAGCTAAATGAATCGAATTAATTGGAATTATCGAGGAAGTTAAAAGTTCCGCAGTTTTGTCGGCAAATTCAATTTGTGGCAGACAAAATGCGGGACAGTGGATCAAATGGTGTTGTTAATTTTTCTCCGAAGTGCTTCGTCAGTGTCTGCTTTTGTTATGCAAAGAGGATACCGCTGATTATAATCGGGCCAGTAATAAATCACGAAATCTTCGAAGTCCGACGCCCGGAGCGGCGCTTTTCAATTAAGGCCTGGAACAACGTGGTCCCGGAATCCGTAATTAACGGCATGAACCATGAAATACTTTTGCGATAGGTTCTCCCGTGCAAATGACTCCTGTAATTTCCCTTGTAACTCGAGAGCTTCTCTTCTGTAGAATTAATTAATCAACCACAGCGCCGAAAACGGGAAAAAGCATTAGGAACTTCCGAATAATGGTGGAAAGAGAATATCTCACGCGAACCTTTGTGTTTAGGGCGTTTTCTGTGCCTCCCTTTGTGCCAGACTCCACTGGATGATAATGAGAAAATGAACGCCGCGAGCATGCTGGCAATTATGCTCTCAAAGATTTTTAATTCAATTAATTGAACGCGCTTTGGAGGTGTTATATATATATATATAACTTTAAGCGGTATCGTTATGTGTGCACGACGACATTTTACAGTAAACTTGATACTCGGAGATTGCTAAATGAATCCGCTAAGTCTCAGTTTACTAGAAAATATATGTTTGTTTAAAACAATTCCTGCGTACAGGCCGTAAAGTTTAACTAAAGTTTAACTTGGAAAATGATGAACCTACAAATGCACTCTAACGAAGCTGCCATAACTTCGCACATAATGGTCAAATCTGTATTCAAGAATTCTGAAACTGAACTAACAAAGTTTCAATTTAGTGCAAAAATTATTCGTTTGTTTAAAAAATTCCAGAGTGACTCTCGAACGTTTAAAGTGACAAACTTATAAGCGTGTCCTAACGAAACTGCCATAACTCTACAGAGAGTGATCAGATCTTCGCAAAAAAAATCCTGCGTGTCCCTCGAAGATTGATAAATGAACCTACAAAGTGTCAACGTGATACAAAAATTATGTTTGTTTACAAAAACTCCGAACTCGCTCCTAAGGTCTCAGCATGACAAATGAGAAAAGCGCCCTACCAAAAGTGCCATAACTCTGCACAGAGTGGTCAGATCTTCATAAAAAAATTTATACGTGTTCCTTGAAGATTTAAAAATGAACCCAGAAAGTGTCATTGCGATACAAAAATTATGTTTGTTTAAAAAAATTTCAAACTCTCTCCTAAGGTCTCAATATGAGAACCCTAGAAGTGCACCATACCAAAATTGCCATAACTCTGCATAGAGTGATCAGATCTTCATAAAAAAAATTATGTGTGTTCCTGAGAGATTGATAAATGAGCCCAAAAAGTGTCAACATCGTGGCTGTAAGCAAATCTCGAGATAATTTAGCGAGAACTTTCGGTGAATCGCGGTCGGCTTGGTTGGTTGTTCTTTGGAAATTACAGGCTCGGTATAATTATCGGCAGTATGCGAGGCGAGACGACGCGACACTGCGGTCGCGGCGGCTAACAAGCAATTTAAATGTGCATTCATCAAACGGGTCGCACACGCGGGCACACTTACTGCTGGTATCGAATCCGTCCTCGAAGGGGCATCTCTGTTTGATCGTTGTCGAGGCTTTAGTCGGCGGCCAGCAGAGCAGCGAGTCCCAGACCTGTTCGCACCACAGCTCTGCAAAACGAAAAACGAGAAGGCCTGAAGCTTATTACTGTCGCTCGCGGAAGTAGCCTCCACCCACGACAGCCGGCTCCCCCCCGACCCACCCTCCACCCTGTCTACGCTCCGCCGCGATACAATTTGATATTGAACCCCGGAGAGCGAGAGTTCACTCGGACGGCCGCTCTTCTGCCGTGGGAAACTTCCTTCCTAGGTCAGTGTTGGCCGGCTACGCGAGGCTTTTCAACGAATCCGGGCGCTCCTCGAGCTCCACGAATTTTGGATTGGTCCTTTCTCGCGCGTTCCGTCGAGTGCTCCGCTTTTTGGTCCAATTCGTTGACTAGATTTTCAAGCGTCAACTCGGACGGATTTTCCGTTGAGTTCCCGTGGGCGGTTTTTAATGGAACTAAGCTTGAATTGAAGCTGGAAGTGACCACTTTCGGATTAGGTGGTTTCGATCAAAAATAGAAACGCGAGATCGTTTGGAAAAAATCGGTGAATCTCCGTCTACGACTCGAATGAAACTGAGGCGATTTTAAAAGGGAAACTTCAAAGCGGTTTCAAGTTGTATCGCAGTGGGAGGTTTTCAATCTAACGTAGCTTAAATTAAAGCGGAATGCGTCTACTTTAGGACAGGATAGATGAAATTAGAAACGAATAGCGAGATCGTTTCGAAAAATCGATAACTCTCGAACATGCTGACTCGATGGAAATCGTGCCGATTTTGTGGGATAATTTTAAATTGATTTCAAATTGTATTCTCGTGGGACTGTTTAAATATAATTTAGCTTGGATTAAAGCTGAAAGTGTTCTCTTTAAGATAGAGTAGTTTAGATCGAGAAAGAATCGCGAAATCGTTTTAAAAAATTCGAGAACACCGACCGATGTCTCGAAGAAAAGTGTGTCGATTTTCTAGGATAACTTCATATCAATTTTGAGTTATGTTCCCGCAGAAATTTTTTAATTTCATTGACGTCAAATTAAAGTTCGATCAATGAACATTAAGATAGGATCATTTAAATTTGAGAGAAACATTTGAGATCGCCACGAAAAATCGATTTCATCCACTCGCTACTTCACAGGGAAATTTGCTAATTTCGTGGAATAACTTTAGATCAATTTTAAATTGTGTTCCCGTGCAAATTTTTTGAAATAATTGTGCTCAAATTAAAGCTAGAGAAGTCCGCTTTAAAATAGGCTGATTTTGGTTCGTCTAAAAAATTTGCGATCGCTGCGAGAAGTCCAAGAATTAATACGGAAAGAATTCAATTTTTCAGGGAACGAGAACTGCATATCTTTCCGCGTTTGCTAATTTCCTGGCCCGAATTCAAGGCACTATTTCATATTGAATTTTCTTGGAAGCGAGGTATAGTTATATCGACGAATGTTCCACTATTCTTGGACGACTAAAGGCACCCTTGAAAAGGATCACTGAGCTGCAACTAATCCAGTCAACCTTCAAAAACTTTTTTTCAAACTTTCCCTGCATCGTGAAACTCAATGGAAACGCCGGGCTCTGATGTCTGTTCCTCTCGCCGGGTGAGAACAACCCTTTAAAACTTGTTCCTCCACTTCTCCCTAACATTTAGATCACAAAAAGATCGTAAGAATAGAAAATTCATAAGTTCGGGAAGCGTCTACGAACTTTTATCGACGCGAACCCGGGACAAAGTGTTCCCATTTAAATAACAAATCAACGAGAAGTTACCTGGACAGCTTCATCCCCCCAAAATCGTGCAAAAATTTAGCGCAATTGTCAAAGTGCTCGATCAGAAATTCAGGGATTATTATCAGAGTGCACGATAAAATATGAATATTAATTTCTAAAAGATTATCATCAGAATACACGATCGTAAAATATACATTAATTTTTAAGGGATGCTTTCACCCCGGGGAGGCAAAGAATTAAAAACAAACAGAGACAACGGTCTCAATATCTTATGCAGATTAAAATGAGCCGAGAGTGGGTTGATCCGCGATGATCACGTTGTCGGACAAATAAAACGTTGGAAATAAATACTTACCACCCTCGGGAGGGATGAAATCTTTGTACCGGACGCTGCAAAAGTCTCGAGTGTTATTGCCAATGGCATTAGCCGCATCCATCTTGCCTTTAATTGTCCATTTCCCGGCCTCTCAGACTTTCCCGCCTCTACATCTTCGCCGCCAACCCCCACCACCCTCGAATCAATAACGGTTTCTGCCAGGACTCGAACACGTCGTCCGTTCCGGCACCCCCGTCGTCGTTTGTCCACATACTTCGCTCCTTTATCAGGCTTCGGTCGTGCCCCCAAGTCGAAACAATCGAGTGCCGGCGTTACGCGATCGTATTTTCTTCCTGCTTGCAACCCCTCAGACAGTCATCGCGAGACCGGCGCGCCTTTTGCTCGGCATCTCGCGGCGCGAGAAACGGGGAGAAGTTCCTCGCGTGACGATGATCGTTCGAGTCTTTGAAATTCTAATTCAGCCGGCTCGCCGTCACCCCGCGCCAACCCCTTTGCATATTATTCCGTCGATTTCACAACCCCCGAGCCACTTCCACTGTTCTACTCGGCCGATGGATCGAATCAATCAGCTCTACAACCCTTTTGGAATTTGCGCCAGTTAGGGGTTGTTTTTCAAAAGTGTTCGAACAATTCAGAAATTGTATCACTTTCACCGGCCAACCACCCTCTGTCCACGATACAACCGTTTCATTGACTCGTTCGCCGAAGGTTCTGGCGGTCCCTTTGCATTCATTTCCTACGGGGGTGGTTTCCCGCGGCACCACGATTTATTGCACTGTTCTCCGCGCGAAATTAAATCACTTTCGTTGCCCCACTACCCTTTTGTTCTCGATAGAATCGATTCATTCGTCGAACGTTGCGCTTCTCCCGGAACTGTTTTATTAAGGGGCGGTTTATCACCAACACAACCCCCCGGGAATTTACTTCGCCGGTGCAGCGCGCACGCAGCTGAATCGTTCGCTGCGTTAAATCACGCCTGTTCCCTGCCTCAAAGGGCGCCAGTAATTTATTTGCCAAACGATTTCGGTCTTGAATCATTTATTTTCTGTTCGGTGGTCGATTTCCCGCAGCCCGGCAATTTATTCCGGCAGCTTCTTCTTCGCGCACGGTTAAGCGACTTCCGCTATCCGACCATCCGCCGGCTCTAATGGCGCCCCGTAATTAATTTATTTACCAAACGCCGGTCCTTTCGCGCTGATTTTCAGGGGCGGCGGCGGTTTAAAGCCCCCTCCACGGTTACAGCCTCGCCGGATTTTCTCTCTGGAACAGAAAATGGACCGCCGTCAGCTCGGTTTACGTTGTCGGCCCGCAACGACGATTGTAAACGACAGCTTGAAAGCGGAGTTCCAACCCCCCCCCCCTCCGAAATATTCGCATTATTCAATTTTTCGTTCTCGCGACGAAACGAGCCGAAACGAAACGGAAGCGTTTCGCATGAAACGCGCGACGATTTTTCTAGAAACGGCGGCGCCGACGAGCGTCGCTGATTATGTCGATCGATTATGAATTTCTGCCGTCGCCTCCGTTATTAATCCTCGTTAAATGCCTCCCCCTAGGTGTCCCCCTAGCCCGCGTCGAGAGCATCGCGATCGTCGAAACTAATTTCCGTAATTAATTTGTTCGACAGGCGACGACGCGTCGCGGTACGTTTGTTGAAGAGACGCGAAGGCGAAACGGTTCTCGGACGCGAGACTCGATTCGCGTCGATATGCAACTGAAATTTCGATTCGATCGCGACACGATTGTCGCGGAAACGTAATCATCGGACTGCGGATTTTATGCATTTATGGGAAAAATGTGTGGGAATATAGAAAACCGTGGAAAGATTATAAGACCTTCAGAACGGTGTTACATTTTTTTTTCAACCTATTGGACATGTTAACGGTTATTCGAGCCTTGCGGTACATTTTTATAATTGTCGATTGTCAATGATTATAAAAACGAAGTGCAAGGCTGAAATAATCGTATCTCCTCTTTCCAAATTGTCCATTTTTGTCTACAAGTTGAAGGAAAATTAGAGAGAATTTACAGTACTGTTTTACTTCAGTTGGTCGCAATACAGATAGACAATTTTTATACAGGGTGTCCCAAGATTGTGTTATTTCCGGGAAATGAAGGATTCCTGAGATCATTTGAAGCAACTTTCTCCTTTGCGAAAATGCGATCCGCGGCTTCGTTTACGAGTTATTGACGAAAAAAGGCTGACCAATGAGATTCGAGCGCTAGGCGACGCTAGGCGGCGCTAGGCGGCCGAGCCATCCAGCGCACGGAGCCCAATTCCGCTCATTGGCTCGGTCGCCGCGCGCCAATCGAGCTCGTCGCTCATTGGCCAGTGTTTTCCGTCAATAACTCGTAAACGAAGCCGCGGATTGCATTTTCGCAAAGGAAAAAGTTGCTTCAAATAACGTCGGGAACCTCTCATCTCGCGGAGATAACATAATATTGAAACATCATTTTGCATAAAGATTTGCGGTCGAGTAATCACAGGCCGCCAGGGTCCGCGTGCATTGAAAACTGTCGCGGGAAAACGTTCTCAATGAAACTTCGATTTTCAAAAGGCTGAATGTCGACCGCCTGAAAGCTGAACGTTCCTTTGGAACAAGATGGTCGACCCTATACGGGCCGCGAAAAGTGCGAAGTGTTGTTCGATTCAATTCGCCGCCATTCAATTCCGTGAACACGATTTGTCTGGGATGTAACGACCGGCTTTACGGGGCTTGTACCATTCGCAGCGAATCGCGTGGAATCGCTTTGAAGGCGAATTCTTTGAATTCGAAATACTTCCTGGAACAATCGGTGTATGCCCCGGGTTCGTGTAATTGCGCGTCCAAAATGCGCGCTCAATTTTAACGTGCACAGGTAAAAAGCGTCCTTGGGAATGCCCGACATCTGACGGATTTTTCCACTTAATAATGTATAATATTGTACATCAATTGGGAAGATGCGGTGTGTCTGACTGTTGCCGGAGCATTCTACTCGAAGCGAAATGTACGCATCTTCGAGGATGAAATTTTTCCGGATAAAATACTTTCTGGAATAACGATAATAATTAATACAATTCTTTATTCAAAATATTCAAACTCAGTTCGTGTACACGCTTCTGGGAGTGTCGCAGAAGTCTGGCTGACATGCGAGAGACTTTTCTACTGGCGAATAAATGTGACTGTGAAAATACAGGCTGTCCGACTGTTGCACGAGTCTACTACTTCGAGTGAAATGTACGCGTACCGTTTGAGAATAAATTGTCTCAAGATACAACATTTTCTGCGATAACAGTAACAATTGTTTATGCATTAAAAATATGCTCTCAGCTTGAATCCGTATTCAAGTGTCCTGGAAACTGTCGCAGCAGTCTATCTGCCGTAAAGGATCGACTGTTTCAGTCGAGAATACAGGTAGCGATAAAAAAATACCGAGAGCGTCTGACTATCGCCGGGTTATTCTACTCGGCTAGGCGGATCCGCGGAGCTTCCTCGCGATTCAAGTGGCTGACCACTAGAGCAACTATTCTACGCGGAAATAAGAGAACGTCCAAAGGAGGACGCTTTTCGCTCGTGTTTCGCTGGACAAAGGAGCTCGCAACTTTTGCAACAGTAGAAACAAAACAGGCAAAATAAAAATTCACAGAGAGCCCCCGCTCCCCTCCCCCTCCTCTGATGCAGTGTATTCGTTAACGCATCTAGGTTTTTTCTTTCAATTGGCCGTGCGTCGTCAAAGCAGAAAAATGTCTGCCTCGCGTGGACTGTTTTATATCCGAGCCCGGAATAACCCCCCGCGTCGTTGCCATAATTAGTGGAAAATTATTATTTCCGCTCGGGATATTCAAAAACTGCGAAACACAGAGCCGCGTGCTATTGAAACGAAGTCAATGGTTTTAATTGGCTGCGAAGCCAACGTTCTCGCCAATTAAAATATTACGGTAATTGAATAATAATTATGCGCTGCGGATAACGGGCCCCCTTCGAGTGAATAACAATTCAATTTGCATTAATAAAACGTGTTCGCAGAATCGTTTAAAGTGTAACGCGGTCTGTTTGACTCGTCGCGAAGCAAAAAACTGCGCCGTGCAATTTCTTGTCCGAGAAGAAAATTCGACGTATCGACCGATTCTTCGAGCCTCGAGCGGGAAACGCTGAAGAGGATCAAGGTCGGCCCGGGGATCCTCGATCGTTAGGCCTTGTGGACGCGAGAGCACAGCATCCCGGGACCGTGAAACCGACGGAAACGAATCCTTTCCAGGCCAGCTGACGCCGGTCGGAACCCGTCGAGTCGTTAACGCGAAACTGGCAGGGAAGATGAGCCACTTTTCAAGATTCTCGGGAAATTCGAGGGTCCCTGGTAATTTCGCGGCTGGTCTACCATCTGAAATCCCAAGATCGCTCCGGCGAAAACTGGCTGAAAGCCCCGGAATCATCCTGTAATTTACGTCCGCGCGCGGCGAAAGGTCGAACCGCCGTTTAAAACAACACTTTCGCGGCCCTCGAATTCTTTTTTTTCGCCGCCGTCCTTGTTATCTGACATTTTTCCGACATCCTTTTCGCTCTCGACCTTTGTGCCCCGAAAGTTACGACATCCGTTCGCTGGAACTTGATAGACCACGAGGCGCACGTATATCGGTGGAATTTGTACGGGGTCCGACATTCCGTTGATTTTACTACTGAAAAATGTCGTCGTTTCGTCGCGAAGCGTGTTCAGTCTAACATAATATTGATTTTACCACTTCCGAGCAGGCAATATTTATTTTCTATCAAAGAAATAGAAATACCGGTGTGCTTCAATGGCGGACTGAACACTACTGAAAAATACGGTGGATGCATCGTGAAGTGCGTTCAGTCTAACATAACATTGATTTTGCTACTCGAGAGCCGACTGATACTCCGTTGATTTTACTACTGAAAAATATCGCCTTTGCTTCGTGGAGTCTATTCAGTCCGACTTAATATTGATTTCACTACTCGAGAATGGTGAATAGTATGTTCTAATAATTCGACAAAATATGTTCTAATAAATAGACATATATATGACTGGACTGATACTTCGTTGATTTTACTACTGAAAAATATCGCCTTTGCTTCGAAGATCGTATTCGGTCTGATTTAATATTGATTTTACTACTCGAGAGTAGAGAACGGTTATCTTCTATGAAATAAATATAAATATTGGTGTGATAAATAGCAACATATGACTGATCCGATACTTCGTTGATTTTACTGCCGAAAAATTAATGAAAAAAAAAGTAGTAAATAAATAAATTAAAAAAAAAGTAATGTCTCTCTAATTGACGCTAGGATTGTCCACGAAAGTGGACGATTTTGGAAGAGAAGATACGATTGTTCGAGCCTCTTCTTCTCAAACTGTTCATTTTTGTGCATAATCTGAACGTCAGTATGGGAGACATTACTGTATTACTGATTTCTCCACTATTTCTACTTATTTATTTATTTCTTCAGAGCGCGTAATCGAGCAGTTTTCTATCGGCGACGTAAATGTCAGTGCTATTACACACAGAAAGAAAACATGGGTGGACTGTTGTATCGTTGACTTTACCACTGAAAAAATACAATTCTTGATTCAAAGGGAACGCTCAGTCTAGCATACTATTGATTTTTCCACTTGGTTGCAAGTAATAAAGTCATTTTCCGCGGCCCCGGAAATATGACGGTTCGCGTTTGAGAAACGCACACAGTCTGACTTCCCATTGATTGCACTACTTAAATGCAAATTGCGATCAGCATCGAGATCGACGTTTTATCGACTCTTTCGCGTGGAAGTCGCAATTTAACGTAGCTTTTAAATTGAAAAATGCACGGATCCGTGTAAGACCCCGCTGCGGCTGACATATCATTGATACTTTTATTTCGATAATCCGTCACTCGTCGAATTGGAACCGCGTCTGACATCTTATCGAACGTTCTGCTCGGAGAAGAAAAATCGTTGGTTGACGAAGGATGACTGACCTTTAATACGTATTTCTACTTGGAAGACCCGAGCAGTCGAATGTTGCCTGACCTTTTTTTTGGCTACTTCCCTACTTAGGATTACTTGCGCGACTAACGAGCAGCGTCCGATCACGTTCCAAGACCGGCGAATGGAGAGGCAAACACGTCTGAGAAATTTTTACGGCTTATCCTCGTGGCGTCCGTATTTCTCTCGTGGTCCGACTAATCCTCGATGTTTCCCCTTTGAAAACCGTTCCGCGACTACAGTCGCGTGAAAAAGTCGATATTTAATTTAGAAACATCGGTCGTGGGAGGAACGGT